TTGAATTGGTATTGGATTTTAAAATTATATTAAATTTAAAATGAAATTAATTTATATTTTCTTTTTAATTTTTTGTAGGGATGGGGATCCTTGCGGGACGGGAAAAATTCCTTGCAAAATTTCATGGAGGGAAAATGCCCCCCGTCCCCGTGGGGATCGAGGCAAATTGTCATCCCTAAGGATAAGCATTTATCAGAATATAACATTATTTTTTTCTTTGTATCGCACATGTGTCAAGGAGGGTGTCAGTTTGGTGTGCATGCCATTCAGTATCCAAAGAAAATTGATGTTTTTATTTATGATAATAAATTGTAAAAGTAGAATTAAAAATATTAAAAAAAATAATTTACTACTAGAATCTCCAAAAAATTTTAAAATATATACCCTAAAATTAAATGGATTCAAGTCATTCATAATGAAAAATACTAAAATAACTTATTTTTAAAACAAAAATGATATTGTTTTGATATCTTCTACAATGCATAAGGTCATATACCCAAACAACTTCTCTATATTTTTTATGGTATTTTTACAATATAGTTACATTTAGATCATATTAATTTAAAGAAGAAAAAATTTAAGAGAAAAATAGTGCACTAACCAAGATCATACAACATTATTTGGGGCAACATAATAACTTCAACCATAAAGTAATTCAAATAGTTGATATTAATGATTTTATGGTAGCTTGATGAACAATTCCATCACAACCTCCACATAGTGATTATCTTGGGTGTAATCGCTTATTGCTTTCCTTTATTGGATTAGTTGTTACTTTTATAACTTCCCACCACCACACTATTATCCATATCAAAAGAGTTAGCTAATTTATTTTCTTTTAAAATAGTGTTTTTGCAATCTAAATTATATCATATTGCAAAATATTGACCATTGGTTGAGGGAATCTTCATTGTAGGACAACCCATATCATCCAACAACCTAGCTTTTGCAATGTAGTGTCAGTTTTACTACAAAATTGTGGGCTTCTTTTTTTTCTTTTTTTTTTTTTTTTTTTTATTTAAGTACAAAAATAACTCCAAGATTTGGAAATGAAGGGTTCATCTTTTGGCATAACTTCAGCATTTCCTTCTAACAACATTCTCTCAAGAATTAAGACAAAATGTGTTGTCAAGAAAAAAAAACAGGAGGCACACTATTAAGAAGCTTAGAGCTGGAAGATTGAGGAAGTAATGTATGTTTAATTCAAAGGAGGGAGTTGTTCTTACCTTTGCCTTTAATTCATTTAACTGCTCCTTAAACAACTACGCCTATAATATAAGACATAACCTGTTTAGTCTTTGTACTTTCATGCAAGCAAACATAATTTTCAAGTATTGTCTAGGAATTGTATATAGGTAAATGCATGGCACAATGAAGAATCTAGTACAGTGGAGAAATTTATATTAATGATATGAGGAATGTCAAGCCAAAGTCCCTTACATGTAGGTAGAAGGCACAATGAAGGATCTAGTACAGGGTATATTAGAGACTCCAATCCCACATCATTGAGGAGACCTCGGACCATTTAAATTGTGGAAGCAATGTGGGTTGCAGCTCTATCTATGAGTACAACCTAAGGAGGAGGCGAGTCTGAGGAAATGTGGCTGTTTTATGTCTACAAGGGTCCAGTGGCAGTGCAAATACTCTCTAAAAATGACAAAAAAGCTCATTTGATAGTAACTCAAATGCTAACTTTCATTCGAACGCAGAAGTCTTATAATCATGTTCTGATTCATTAATGCAACTACTTTTAGCCAAAGTGCAAACTTAAAGGTTGCAAAACTTTCTTGGCCTGATGTTTTTCAAGCTAGAAAGCTGGCTATCAATCTCTTGAAGTTCCCTCACAGAACACAAGCTTAATCCTTGACCTAACAACTTCCTTTATGACATCAAAATTTCAAACTTTAGAAATCCTTTCACCTGGATGATCAGGTGAAGTAACATGACATAAGCATTAAATCAATATTGAACCTTCTAGAAACATCCAGAAACTCAATCTTTTAAACATATTTGCTGTTCCAATCCCCAAGTGCTGCACTCTGAAATTTTTTCAAGGAAGTATTATTAGCAGCTGTAGGCTAGTAATTTACCATAACTAGTGAAGTGAATTGTCTGATTAGAGCAATGAAGATGTAACATAGATTATATAGAGAAATCCAATCCTATGTATCAAAGAATCAACCGACAAAATAGTTAAAACAAAAAATTGCATGGATTTGATTAATGCTTGGAAAGATTTGCTCAAATTGATGAGGTGTTATAACCATATTTTGGACTGCCCCCTTGACAACTTGTTTATAGGAGACTAGAATAAGCACTTGTATTTGTATGAGCTTCGAAACACTTCACTTCCTAAATCATGGATTTAAAGTCCAAAACAATGATAAAAACAATAAAAGTAGCAGACTTGCAATCAAGTTAATTTTTACTCTAATCCACTAAAAATTAAATATTCATCATATATGCTTAACTCAGATTGCATATGGATCCCCAAGTCAAACACCAAACCTTACGTTGTACTTTCTTAACCATAATTCTTTCTGTTTCCCATGAAAAGCAATAAATTTTGAACTGTCCATTTCTCGGAAAAATATTCATGGAAAATTAATCTGTACAAGGAAATATGGAGATCTAACCTGCATGTGTTGTCCCATTTCAGGCTTGTGAGTTGGACTTTCTTATGTATACACAGAGTACCGTTCAATAGCGTTTTCCTTGCTGAAGCATTTCACAGAAAGATATTGTCATCAATTCATATTTACTAGTTTCATAAGAATAAATGAATAGAACAGAAAGGAAAGCAGATATATCCCATCAGCAGACAATTTAATTAATTAATTAATTAACAAGTTGGCAAAAATTTTCATTAATTAACAAGTGTACAAGCACCCAAAACTACAAAAATTCCAGACCATCCCTAGTTACTGAAGAGCAGAATCACAACATTACATACCCTTTTTAGATGAATCAAAAATAACATTAGTAGGAGTTCCACAGGTACTCCACCCTTAAACTTACAGCCACAAGCCGTCTACACATAGAATCAGATACACTCAAAGTTCAGCTACATTTAAGACTAAGAGCTCATCTAATTCAGCAAGAATTCCAGCGTTTCCTTCAAATTTCCTTAGCACAAAGTTGTGGAAAAGAACACCAGTGATGTTAGGAGACCACACAACTTTACATACTTGTCTCAACCCACCATCTAAGCCTAAAATATGAATGGCAAGAATGAAGATGCATCCAAGTTCATAGAATAGCCACCTCAAACAAGTTATAACTAAGATTACATACCTAAAACATAAGAAAAACAAATTACAGGTATTTAATTTGAATCTAGTGAAGGAAAGTTAGCCATTTTTTTTTTTAATTTTTTGTTTCTTTTAACTAATTCTAAACACGTGTAATATTGATATTTAATTTACCACCTAATTAACAGATGTACCGCAAGTAATGATATGTGCTTAAGAGAGTCAAAATGTGTAATGCATTAGATTTTTGTTTTTTTTTTTTTAAAGTAAAATTTTCTCCTTCCTACTAATAGTATTATTGAGTGACTATATCATGCCTATGCCTCTCACTACTAGCCTGAACATATAATTTGATCACATATATGAACTAAACACTAAAAAAAAAAAAGATTATATAAATAGAGTTAGGATCCAACTTCACATAACTCTTACACACATTAATTACACAAAATCTTGACCATTCATTTTTCCACTATGAATGGTAGAGATTTATGACAACTTTTTAGATAAAAAAGACAATTATATTTAAAAAATATAATAAAAAGTGGATAAATCTCAATTATTCATAATGTAAAGATGATTGATTATTGTATAAGAATTTTGTGTAACTGAATTCTAACTCATAAATATATAACAGAAAATAAAAAAAACATAAATACCTACACAACACTTGAAAAGCAAATGCTTAGCAATGGCAAATTGACTATGAAAAATGAAAATCTAATAGGCCTAAGAGCATGCAGCTAAGAAAGTAAGGTAGATTACTATGCCTCATAGAGACATACATCCACAGATTCCTTCAAACACATGGGCAACATTTATTTTAATTAGTCATGCACCAACAAAATTCATAGATTCACATCTATAGGACATATCCTACAAGAAATTAATGATTTTATAACTACTTTATGCAGTCTCAAGTTTTAATGGTTAAGATTGGAGGGTTTAACACAATTTCGAAAGTACATGTGGTATCATACACTATATAATATAAAAAGAAATGATGCTCATACAAACATCTTGTAGTTTAATACACTCTATAATATATTCTTTAGAAAATTTAATTATTTTTTAGGTTGGAATTAAGGATAGAAAAACTTAAAATTGCAGAATTTAGTGGTTGAACTGGTGGGTTTTGGCAAGTGTGTTGAATTGCAGGGTGTATCAATAATTTGAACACCCTCTGGTTCAACACAAACGCTGACACCCAGCTGGTTCAACTATTAAAATATAATATAGATACAACTAATTCAACAAGTTCCCTCATATTGTATGCTATGCTATGTATAATTGCATCTTTAAGTTTTTTCACCTTTAATTCCAAACTGAAAAATAACAATTTTTTAATGAGTTTATGTGGAGTGTATTAAATTAGAAGGTGTCTGTACTGATGCCTTTTTCTGAAAGGGACAAAACTACCACGAGATTTAATATCTAATAATTAATATGTAAATTTAAACGGTGGCTGGCTAAAAACTAGAATTACAATTTCAAGTTCCTAGCGGCAATGCTTTTGGAAACCCTAATAGACAAGTTTGAGAAAGGCTAAATGCACCCAAATGGATTTGTTCCAGCAGCAAAGCATATCATGATAGTCATTCTTGATATTTCATGCAAAGAAATGAACTCAAAGACAAATAGGGGGAAAAAAAAAAAAAAAACAATGCCAATAGTAAGATTTCCTAATGGAACTGAGGAAGTACAGATCCACATAATAAGCATATCTGTAAAATTTATGCACCAGACTTGCAAAATCTGTTAAATGAAAAACATTTATAGTAAAAAGAAATAATCAATTGAAGAACTTCGTTATTACAATTAAAAAGAACATACTCGGAGCTTGAGAACTCATCAAGTCTTCCTTTTTGTTAGAAGATTATAACTGCAACATCGACATCATAGATAACAGATAGCTCAAAAGCCTTCTTAAGCAGCCCGTTTTGACGCTTGGAGAAGGTCACTAGTCTGCTTGCTGCATTCTCGATCCTTTTCATCACAATTTTTCCTCTCACCATCTTCTTACTTCATCATCAGAGCCACGTCAATCAGTAACTTTACAGGAGAATCAAAATTTTCCCTTTTTTTTTTTAAGAAAAAATGAGCCAAATACTCACCGAAATTGACCGAAGTCCCCAGACATATATTGAGTAGCTACGCAGTGTGTGGTTCTTGCTAAAGTTTCGACATTTGTAAAGAAAAATTACAAAATTTGAAGACATTAATAATGGCAGCCCATGAGGACGGTTCTTAAAGCTCAAAGGAAAGAGAAAAAGAAGGAAAACCCAGAAAGAAACTTGCCTAAATTTTCTGGGAAAGAAAACAAGTTTCAGCCGCAAAGAAAATAAATTTAGAAGAAATCAATAATAGCAGCCCATAATCCCATAGAATAGTTTCATCATTTCAGGTGCAAAGGAAGGAGGACAAACATTTTAAAAAAAATTTCGAAATTTTCTAGGAAACCGAACAGCAACCACCCTAGAAAATTCTTGGGAACAAAGGGAGGAATCAAAAAAAGTGAGATGTTCAGAAAACCTAGAAAGATAAACAGAAACAGAGGACCTATTGATTTTTGATATAGCACTCTCTCTATTCTCAAACAACAAAAACCCTCATTTTCTTATATCCTCTTTTATCTTTCCACACAAAAAAGACAGAAAAAAAAAAAATCCACACCCAATTAAAAGCTTTTTCAACTCATCTTTTCAAATTGGTTTGGTAGCATTGAGAAAGGAAAAAGAATGGCAGGACAGAAAAATAATAATGAAAAAAGAAAATGAACAGTAAACACAAAAAATAATGGTAATTATAATAATAAAAAATAGTATGACATGTCAGACATCATCGTACAATGATGTGCGCAACGGCCCAATGGTGTCTTGACAACGCATCACGTTGCACTACACGGACCAATGGGGGTGGCGACCGTGTCTCAGACTCGCCGTGAAAGGATTGGCTAAAACAATTATTAACGAAGTTTGGTACTTATTTAGTTATTTTATTGGTTAGGATTCGATTTTTTAAGAGTCTAATAAAAGGAAAAATTTTTATAAATTTTTTAATATTGATATTGAAAATTTGTACTTGACTGAATTAAAAATAAATTAATTTTAAAAAATACATAAATTAATTTCGAAGATATTTTAACTGTTAAACAAAAAAATTAATAAAATTTGAGAAAAAATTTTTTCCTTTTTCGTTTCAATAAAAAGAAAAGAAAAGAAAAATGATGTAATAATTATTAACTAACTAGCTAAGAAAGTGTTCCATAAAAAAAAAAAAGAATTTAGCTAAATGTTTATCAATTAAAAATATTAATTTAAGGTAAAAGAAATATAAAAATTAAGATATTTGAACATTAAAAGAAACCCAAAATATTAAATTTTAACCACATAATAAATGAGATTTAAGTGAGATGTATATTATATTTTACTTATAATGTGGTTTTGATAAGATATTTTAACATTTTTTAATATCAAAATATTTAATTTTTCACATTTTTGATATATGCAATAATGAATAACTAACTCCTTATATATAAAAATAAAAATAATAGTATAAGGTGCTAAAATGAAAGATGTATATATATGGCAGGCGATATTGAATCAATAAAACTTCAAAAAGGTTTTACACATTCAAAACTTACTATTACGGCGAGCTCCCAAATATTAGTTTTAATTTTGTATTATGTCATAACCCATAATGTAAAAGCAAGGGCTCAAAACTTTCATGTGCATTTGTTAATAAGGTATGACTTCTTTCATTTATTTATTTAACATCATTTTTTCCTTTTTATTTATAGCTGCAAATATTGGTACATAATTATATATGTTATTGATTAAGTTAATGCACATTAATTTTAAAATTTAAACTTTGCTCAAGATCAAAATTCTGATTTCTTGAATGCCAAACACTTAACTTCTATTAATATATTAAAAAACATATCATTCTTATGAATGTGCCAACTTATAATTAGAATAACATACAACTTTTGACAATTATATTAATGATATTTTCTTCGAACAATGGGAATACCTAAAAATTAAAATAAAATACTCATTCAATTTTAGGTGGCTTTTTCTTTTCTTTAACAAAATAAGGATGTAAGAATTAACTAAGAAAATTTTATATTTATGTACATTCTAATATATGTTATAATTATTTTTATAGAACAACAGTAAAGTAGGAATAAAAACAAGGTTAAAATCCTTTTTTAGTCCCTGAGCTATTATACGGACCCTCGATTTGGTCCCTGAACTAAAAAAACCCTGATTTGGTCCCTATTGTTTATCATTTTTACCCCGATTTGGTCCTTCCGTTAAAAATCGTCCGTTAACTCACAATATATCAAAAATTTAAGCCACGTCAGTTGTACACGTGGATAAATGATGACATGGTCATACCCAACGCAAAAACAAAAGTAGGACCCACCAAATTACAATTTTGCATCATCTTCTTCCTCCAGCATCTTGTTTCTCGAAACTTCCTTCATTCACACAATCAATTCAATCAAATAATCAATTCAATATCCTTCATTCACACAATCAATTCAATCAAACAATCAATTCAATATCGAACCCAACAATTCTTCATCTTAATCAAACAACCAAACCCACAAAAAACAAAAAAAAAATAGAAATTTTTTTGCCCCTGGATTCGAACGAACCCAACTCTTGGGTTCTCGAAGGAACCCAGTGCCCGGATTCAAGAAGAGACCCAGCGCCTGGGTGCAAACGAAACCCAGCCCTGGGTTTGACGAACCCAGCGAACCCAGGGCTAGGTTTAGCCAACACCAGCCCTGGGTTCGACCTGGGTTTGTCAAACCCAGGGCTGGGTGGGTTCGAAGGAACCCAGGCCTACTGGGTTCCGAGGGGAAGGAGGAAGAGAAAGGGGAAGGAGAAAGAGAAAGGGAAAGGGAAAGGAGAAAGAAAAAGAAAAAAAGAAAAAAGAAAAAAAAAATTTAAGTTTTATTTTTCATAATATTTTTTTATATTATTTTTTTTCCACATCATCGCTTTTTTTTCCACATCATTACTTTTTATATTATTATATGACATGTCATCTAGTAACTGTTAAGTAACATGCCATGTCACACAATTTTTAACGGAAGGACCAAATTGGGGTAAAAATGGTAAACAGTAGGGATCAAATCAGGGATTTTTTTAGTTCAAGGACCAAATCGGGGGTCCGTATAATGGTTCAGGGACCAAAAAGGAGTTTTAACCTAAAAACAATTAATAACATCTTTAAAATGAAAAGTGAACAACTAGGAGCTAGTTTATGTATTCAAGAAGTTACTAGGAGCTAGTTTTGTTGTCCACATTATCAATCTTCCCTGTTTTGATTTGGTTTTAAGTGCATTAATTGGTGCTATCATGTAATGTAATTTTGAAACTATAAGTGAAATACCCTTTGTACTCCCTATTTAATAAAACTTTTGATTCATCTAAAAAAAAAGAAAAGAAAAGTGAACAACTAATTTTAAATACCTCAAATTAAAAATTAAGGTTACATTTAATATGATTTTAGTTGTGAGTTTATATTTTATATATTTAGTAACTATTATTATATTTAAAAATCAAAATTTATCATAAAAGTTTGAATTTATTAAATTTAATTTAAATATAGTATTAGCTACTAAATATATCCACAATAAAAACCAAAACTATATTAATCAAAGTCTATGACTGTATTTTGGGATCACCAATCTCTGGTTTCTTTTCTTCTTTTGGTAAAATCAAAATCTAGTAACTCCTCACATTATTCTTTTTTATAGTTTTTCTACTTCGCTTGGATCGGGAGAAGTCAGAAGGTAGTGCGCTTCCTTTCCTTTTCACTCTTTGTGCTCATTCCCACGTCTTTGCGTCAAGATATTATGAAGCTTGGTGTGCTGCATGAGTTGAATATTATGATCAGTTTAAACTGAAGCTGTACTGTAACCATAGAAGTATGTTAACCATGTAGATGTGGCTTTTTACGTGAAATACTTCTTATACTTCTAATTAATAATATTTTTAATTTATTGGAAAAAATGATTTTTTTTAACTTGTGCATTAAATATAAATATAATTAATATACATTTTTTATAATTAAAAATGTAAAAACTGACTTTAATTTAATAAACTAATTAAATAAAATCATTCACATGTTAACAATATTAAAACAAAAATTATCTTTAATAACTTTTTACATAAATTAATTAAAAAATTCATTTATTACACCCTTAATCACACCTTAAGGATACAAAAACCTTTGTTTTTATTAGATATATTGAATTTTTTTTTCAATTTTAATCAAGTAATGAATGAGAATGAGAAAAACGAAAATATGTGTTTTTATTTACATTAGTAAGTTAATAGTCAAATTAAAAATTATTAGAGAAAAATAGTTTCCCAATCAAATCTTCAAAAAAAAAAAAAAATTTAAAACTACATTGATTCGCTGAACTCTCAATAAAAATTACTAAAAGAACTTATTTTTGAAACAAGAACCACTAGACTGTTTAATTTTTTCAGATAGTGCATAATGTAATGATCCCCAGCATCTTCACTCTATATTTTTATAGTATCTTACACTATATATTATAGTTACATTTCAATCATACACAACTAAAGAAGAAAATATTTAGAGCAAAATAGTGGACTAACCAACCACATACACCGATTATACAACATCATTTAGGGCAACACAATAATTACAACTGTAAAGTAATTCAAATGATTGATATTAATGGTTTTGTAGCAATCCAATGAACAATTTCATCATAACCTCCAAGCACTGGTTATTTTGGGTGCAATTATTTATTGCTTTCCTCTGTTGGGCTAGTGGTTGCAAACATGGCTTCCCACCATCACCACACTAATATCCAAATTAAAAGAGAGCCAATTAATTTATTTTCATTCAAAATAGTATCTTGCGGTTTAGAGTAAACTAGATTGCATAATATGAGTAATTGGCTAAAATGGGCCTTGATGTAAGGCGGGCCCAATCATCCAAAGGCTTAGGTTTTGCACTCTAATGTCAATTTAAGTGGTAAAACTGTGAAGCATTTTTGGGTTTAAAAAAGAAAAACCCCTTCAAGATTTGGAAATGAAAGGCTCACCTTTTCACATAACTATCATTGTATTCTAACAATATTCTCTCCTAAATTAAGATTAAAAATGTATCATTGAGACACAAAAAAAAAAAAAAAAAGGGACATGAACCTAATCCTTGACCCAACAACTTCCTGCATAATACCAAAATTTCAAACTTTAGAAATCCTTTCACCTGGATGGGATGAAGTAACATGACATAAACATTAAATCATTGAACCTTTTAGAAACTTCCAGGAACTCAATCTTCTTAAACATCTTTGCTGTTTCAATTGTCAAGTGCTGCACTTTGAAATTTTTTTGAGGAAACCGAAAGTATTGTTACCAGCTGTAGGCTAGTAATTTATTATAACTCATGAAGCAAGTAGTTTTATGAGAGCAATGAAGATTTAACGTAGATTATATATAGAGAAATCCAATCATATGTATTAAAGAATCAAGCCACAAAATCTAGTTAATACCAAAGATTGCATGGATTTGATTAATACTTGGAATGATTTGCTGAAATTGATGAAGTATTATAACCAAGTTCTGGACAGCCCCTTGGCAACTTGTTTATAGGAGACTTGAATGAGCACTTGTCTGAGCTTTGAAACTCTTCACTTCCTAAATCTTGAATTTAGAGTCCGAAACCGTGAAATAAAGAATGAGAAATTGCAATTTAACTACAAATGGTTTGAGGTAAGTCAACATAGACTGAAATTTTGGGTAATTGTAGATAAAGGCCTAAGATATCAAAATGTGCTCATAAACATCAAGGATTTGCACATGGTCTGAATAACCACTTGAAATTTCCTAAAGACCCCTAATTTTAAGAGAAAAGAAAAATAAGGGTATTTATTACAATTCATGTGACTACAAGTGATAATAAGTCCTTATTTCCACATCTTGAAATCTCAGGTCTTTATGTGCACTCATCTTAAATCACAAATATTTTACATGCACTTTTTAAAATCTTGAGTCTTTTTTGTACACCAATCTCAAACCACAAGAAGCTAAAATGTAATTTCCCCAATTAACATCAAAAGGAGTAGATTGACGACCAAGTTAACTGTCATTCTAATCAACTGCAACTTAAGTATGTATCTTTCCTTTACAAATAGACTTATACCATATGCAATATCATCTATGCTTATATCTACCAACGACTTGTTGGTCTGAGTGGAAAAAGTTCAGTTCTCTTTGGATAAAATTCTAAGTTCAAGTCTTGTAAATTGAGAAACAAGCATGTGAAGAGCTTTCTCCTTTATGGGGTCCAACCTGATTTGACCCTAAATTAGTCAGAACTCAATGTAGTTTCCAGATACAGGGGTTAGTACCCAAAAAAAAAAAAAAAAACCACGCTTACATCTAAATGTTCACACTGCTCCTTTTCATACAACTTAGATTGTGTAAGGATCCCCCCACTAGAACACCAAACCTAACAATTTGCTTTCATAACTGTAATTGTTTCTGTTTTCTATGAAAAACAAATAAATTTTGAACTGCCCTTTTCTCGGAGAAATATTCCTGAAAATTAATCTGTACAATGAAAGATGGAAGTCTAACCTGCATGTGTTGTTCCATTTCAGGCTTGTGAGTTGGAATTTCTTTTGTATAGATAGAGTATCGTTCAATGGTCTTTTGCATGCTGAAGCATTTCACAAAATAATATTAATGTCATCAATCCATGTTATCAGTTTCTTTGGAATGAACGAATAAAACTGAAAAGAAAGCAGATATATCCTATCAGCGGATGGCAAAGAAGTTACTTGCCTCAACCCACCATCTAAGCCTAAAATATGAATGCCAGGAATGAAGATGCATCCAACCAAGTTTTACAGAATGTACATCTCAAACAAGTTATCACTTAGACTACATACCTAAAACATAAGAATAACGGATTACAGGCATTTAATTCGAATATGGTAAAGGAAAATTTGTTTGTTTGTTTGTTTCCTTTTTCTTTTTCTTTCTCTTTTTTTTTTTTTTTTTTTTCAATGAAAGCAGATAATGAGCAAAATAATTGGACTTTTTATAGGGCATTCCACTGCCATTGAAAAATTTGACATGCAGCTTCAACATCTTCTAGCATCCTGTTTAAATCTATAATTTAAATGATAATTGGGCTGTGAATTACAAATTTGACTCTGAATTTGAATTTAGATCTTCAATTTTGAATACATTTGTTTGGCTTTGTAAAAATAAAAAAAAGAGTAGATTAGTGAAAAAAAAAAATACATTGTCAATCTCATAAATCTCATATCCATGTAAAACTTGAATATTTAAATAAAGACAATGATTGATACACCCCAAGTTCAACATACTCTACAAACACAATCATTAAGAATTATTATTTTTAAATTTGAATTTAAGGTGAGAAAACTTTCAACTATAGAATTTAGGTTGAACCAGTGGATATTAATAGGTGCATTGAACCGAATAGTGTACCAATTATTTTCCTTTATATAATATAATATGAATTCCCAACCTATATGAAATAAATACATGGATTTCAAAATGGTGAAAGTTACATTTCATCCAAACGAAATATTTTCAAGACATAAAAATCAAATTTACATTACCAAACTAAAGTCAAAGAAATATATTAGCATTCAAATTTCACATTTAATAGTTGTTTTTCCTAGCTAATTAAACAAACTACAAAATATATATAACCTTATTAGATTTCTATCTTTCAGGAGGTAATTAAGTGTTACAAGAAATAAAATGTACTCCATTCAAAAAAAGGATAAAGTAAATATAAAGTATTATGTAAATAGCACAAGGAAAAGATTTATCGAAAAGATTTATAAAAAGGATGAAAATCAACATTGTATTTACAAATATGAGGAAATTAAAAATAGTAAAACCCTAGGATAGTCCTTCAAAACAAGTTAGTTGTATCACTATTGATAGCAAATCACGGGTCATTAATGGTGACAGCAGATTAGGTGAAGAGTCAATCTAGGGTGGATGGTGTAATTTTACTTTATAAATTTAGTATAGGCCAAACATGAGTTTAAATAAAAAAGAAAAGAGTGCACATATTGCAATTAGAAGTTGGTTTTCAAAATTTAACATGGATATTCTACTCTAAACCATTAGAGAACCTTATACATTCCAAGAAGATCTCCCAACAATTAATCATGTGCTTCACATTTTAGGTTGGAAGACTAAAATTTAATTTTGAGATAGAAGGAGAAGACCATTGCATATTATATATATAGCATATCATTTTATATTATATTGTATTATATTATATTATATCATATTATATCTATAAGCTTAGGTGCAAAGAAATAGACACTTATTGATATACATTTTAGTTCAATACACTGCACAACACATTCATTAAAAATTTATTGTTTTCTAGTATGAAATTCAAGGAGACAAACTTAGAGATATAACTATACATATAAGATGTAAGAACCGACTGAATTAAACTATATTTATATTATATTTTAATACCTAAACCGGACAAGTGTCAAAAAATGTGCTGAATTGAGCATTTACTCATCATTTTCCCAAAGAAATAAAAAAAAGGAAGAGGCTGCATCAGAAAGTTAGTGATAGAAGACGCACTCGGAAAGAGAAGAAATAATGTTTAGATTCACTGATTTTCAAGGGGAAGTTAACTCATCCAAGACTTGACCCAAAAGCCATATTTTTTCCAACCAAATGAAATTTATATTAAATGGAGTATAAGGGGTCTTCCAACACATCATGAACATGCCTCTAAATTCTCTCAACATGACAAACAAATAAATCACAAAACACTTAAATTCAAGCTAAATCAAGTTACTTGATCCTTTACTTGTCTTGATCTCTTCACAGCTTCCCTGTATTCATTCACTGCTCTAGCACAATCCCATGGGTTATGGCACCAATCACAAAAAGGAATTATGATATTTGTGAAGGCTAAGGTTTGGTATTTTACATTTCTGGTGGTGGCATGGTCAATTTGGTTTATGAGAAATTGTATGGGTCACAACTCCAACTCTTGGGATGAAGATATGCTATTTGAGATGATTAGAAGGAGAACCACTTCTGACTGTGGTAAGTCAGAAAGTAGTATGTTTTCCTACCATCAATGGAACACTGTGCGCTACTGATGTGCTCAGGAAACTTGAAAATAGAGGGTGCCTTGGATGATGCAGCAGTGTGTATCCCTATAAATGTTGTAGTGCTTTGTATTACTATATATGTATGAATCAACCAATGTGTTTTTTATTCCTTTATCTTGGCAATGTGGATTATTATGGTAACAATTAAATTTATGCAGTGTATATATGGGTAGGAGTGCTCCTTGGACAGTAAATTAATAGAATTTTGATTCATCTAATAAAAAAGAACTTGTGGCAGGCTAAAAACTAGAATTACAATTTCTAGTTCCTAGTACAAAGCTTTTGCAAACCCTAATAGACATGTTTAAGAAGGGCAAAATGCACCCCAATGGATTTGTTCCAGCATCAAAGCATATCATAAGAGTCATTCTTGATATTTCATCAAAAGAAATGAGCTCAAAGAAATAGGAAGAAAAAATCAATGCAAAGAGTAAGATTTCCTTATGGTACTGAGGAAGTACAGATCCACATAATGAGCAATTTATGGAAGAGGATAAAAAAACAAACTTTCAAAATCTGTTAAATGATCAACATATATAGTAAAAAGAAATAATCATTTGAAGAACTTGGTTAGTATAATTAAAGAGAACATACTCCGACCTTCAGAACTCATAATTCTGCCCTTTTGTTAGAAGATGATAACTGCAACATCTACATCACAGAGAACAGATAGCTACGCAATCAGTATCTTCTACTTCATCATCAGAGCCACGTCAATCAGTATCTTTACAGGAGAATCTTTTTTTTTTTTTTTAGAAAATGACACAAATACTCACCAAAATTGGGCAAAGTCCCGAGATATATAGTAAGTAGCTACGCATTGTGTAGCTATTACTAAAGTTTCAACCTTTGCAGAGAAAAATTACAAATTTTGAAGAGACCAGTAGTGGCAACCGGGAGCTACGGCTTAAAAGGTCAAAGGAAAGAGAAGAAGTAAAACCCAGAAAGAAAACAGCCTAAATTTTCTAGTAAAGCAAACAAGTATCAGCCTTTATGCAAAGAAAACAAATTTTTAAGAGATCAATAATAGCAGCCCATGATCCCATAGAAAGGTTTCATCTTTCAAGGTGCTAAGGAAGGAGGAAAAACAAAAAGAAAATCACTGGGAAAAGCCAATATTTTCTAGGAAACCAAACAGCAACCACCCTAGAAAATTCTTGGGAACGAAGGGAGGAATCAAAGAAGGGAGAAGTTCAGAAACCCTAGAAAGATGAGCAGAAACGCAGAGGATCTACTGATTTTTGATATAGCAATTCCGTATATTCAGACCCAGAAACCCTCATTTTCTTTCCATCAACTTTTGTCTTTCCCCACCGAGGGTTGGATCAAGTTTGTTCCAGCTTAAATAAGGTATCCAGTTTGATAACTTGTGTAAGCAGCAGCCTCTGCTGAGACACTCGCCCACCATTTTTAAAGTGCATGATGCAGGTCGAGTTTGTATTAATCGGGGCAAAACCCGAATACCGGGCGGGAAACAAAAAAAAAAACTTTTGTCTTTCCCCCACAAAAAGACCAAAAAATTCATAGCTAATTAAAAGCTTTTTAACTCATCTTCTCACACTGTTTTGGTAATACTAAGAAAAGAAGAATGAAAATCAGAACGGAAAAATACTAACGAATAAAGAACATCGACAGTAAACACCCAAAAAAAAAAAAAAGGAAAGTAATAAAAACAAATAGTAGTATCTGTAATGTCAACATCTTCCTTCAATGACGTGCTCAACGGGCCAATGGTGTCTTGACAACGCACCACGTTGGATCGACCGAAAAGGGGGTGAGGGGGGGTGCTCGCTTTGAATGGATTGGCAAAAGCCATTAGCTTGAGATGAAAATTGTTTGCTTTTGTTTTTTTTTTTTAAGTAAAAAATTTTTCTTCTTTGTTTCAAGAGGAAAAAGAAAAAAAGATAGAAGAAAAATGATGCAGGCATTTTTTTTTTTTTGAACTACAAATTTTTATTAATAGAGTATAAGGATACTCCTATCCATTCGTACATATTATATTTAGTTGTTTCCATATATCAAGTAATAGAAAACCATAAAAAGCATAAGCTTACAACCTTGTAAGACTCAACCCAAAATCCCACCCTTTCCTCCCTTCCCTTTAATTAATTTTGCACATGGTTTAGGATTTACTATCCAATCTGATAGAGGAAACAAATCTACTCCTAATCTTGTTGTTATCCAGTGGTATGCTCTTGCTTGTATTAATCCCAATAGGTTTTCCATATCAACCTCTATGTCTTGAAAGATTTTGTAATTTATACACAACCATATTGACCAAATAAAGGCAAACCAAACAATTTCCCATCCCACATTAGTTGATTTTCTTTCAGTAGGCCAACAGTGTTGCATAAAAGCTTTACAACATTCCGAGTGTGGCACATATGTTACATCCCACTAGTTAAAGCACTTTAACCAAAGCTTAAAAGTTATAGGACAAGTTAATAACAAATGATAAACATTTTCCTCATTTTTTTAGCACAACACACACAAACCACCTTCTTCAACATTAATGATTCCTCTAGCAATCATCTAATCCTTTGTTGGCACTCTATTTAATAAAAATTTCCACATAAGTGTACACACCTTCTTGGGTACCAAAGCATTGCAACACCTTTTGAAATTTTCTTCTTGCCTTTGAGGGTCACTATGAGCCAGAAATTTGTATGCAAACTTTGTGGAATAAATCCCATCTTTCTCAAGTTGCCATTCCTACTTGTCTTCTCTATTCTGGTGAGGTGAAATCCCTTGGAGAAGAGCTTTAAACTGCTACTTGATATTGACTTCTCTTTGGAAGAGTTGCCTTCTCCAATTAATATTCCAATACCACCTACCATTTGACCAGCATCCCATCTCAGCAACTATTTTCTCTTTCACTATAGATAAAGCATACGCATTTGGGTAATTTAGACATAGAGTGCCACCCCTCTCCCAATTATGTCTCCAAAAAGACACTGACTCCCTTTTACCTAAAACTAACTTAAAATTCTTTTGTAACCAACCCTCATTTCCTTCCATCACTCCATTGGACTACATAAATTCTTCCACCATTGAGATCCTAGGTTTCCCTCCTTATTCAACCAATGAGCCCAACTAAATCTATCCACTCCATATTTTCTTTTTAGCACTTGTCTCCAAACACCATTTCTCTCCAAAGCTATTCTACCCCACCATTTTCCCAATAACACCACATTAAACGCTCTAAGATTCCTAATACCCAATCCACCCAACACCTTCTCCTTGCATACTTACTCCCACCCCACCCAATTAACCTTCCTTCACCCCTCAGTCCCCTCCCCCCCAAAAAAAAACCCCCTCCTAATTGAATCTAAAACTTTTATCACTCCTTTTGGCATCAAAAACTTTGGCATCAAAAACATTGACATCATGAAAACTGGAAGGCTACTGAGCATAGAATTAATCAGGATGATTCCACCACCCTAGGACAGATTACGAGATTTCCATATTAACAGCTTCTTCTCAAAATTTTCAATAAGTGGTTTCCAATATTTCAACCTCATCATATTAGCACCAACCGGAATGCCCAGGTACTTGAAAAGGACCTCTCCAACATCACAATTGAGCACCATAGCCATACTAGTCATCCAATCTTCATTTACATTACCTCCCATTAGCTTGCTTTTCATATAGTTAATTTTTAACCCCAAGACTAGCTCAAAAGCTCTCATCACCCCTTTTATTGCATACACATTATGTACCAATGCCTTCACAAAATGATAATGTCATCCACAAACTGTAGATGCGATACACCATCTAGCCGTTCCCAATCTATACACCCTCTAATAATCCTTTTTGCACTGCTGATCTCATAATCCCATTAAGTCCTTCTGCCACAATTAGGAACAGGAAGGGCGAGAGAGGATCCCCTTGCCTCAACCCTCTACTAATAGAATACTCCTTTGTAGGACTTCCATTTACTAAAACAAATATTCTACTTGTTCTTAGGCATTCTTGAATCCAGCCTATCCAAGTTGCTCGAAAGCCCATTTTTGTCATTATAAAGGTAAGAAATTCCCAACACACTTTGTCATAAGTTTTTTCAAAATCTGCTTTGAAAATTAGGTAGCTTCTTTTCTTCTTTTTATCTCATCAATTACCTCATTTGCCAGTACCACTCTGTCCATTAACTGTCTGCCTCCTACAAATGCCGATTGCTGCTCCCCTATTATTCCATCCATGACCTCTCTCAATCTGTTAGCCAATAGCTTGGAAATAATTGTATACATGCACCCAATCAAGGAAATAGGCCTGTATCCTCAACACGAATTGGATTATCCTTTTTTGGGATTAGTACCACAAAGGATGAATTTGAGCCTTTCACCAGCTTGCCATTTTTTTGAAAATCCTCTACGAATTAGAACACATCATCCTTTATTGTTTCCCAAGATGCCTTAAGGCACCCAAAATTAAATCCATATGAATCATATGCTTTAGAACTGCTACAATTCCAAACTGCTTGTTTTACGTCTTCCTTGCTAAATCTACCCACAAGCATCTTGTTGTCTTCATCTAAGACCTGTTTAAAATTTATCCTTTCCAGAGCTGGTCTTGACCATCCTTCATCTGCAAACATCTTCTCAAAGTACATTGATAACCCATTTTTAATCTCCTCCACCTTCTTGAGATCTTTTCCATTGATTTTCACACTATTGATATCATTCCTCCTCCACCTTCCTTTGATGCATTGATGGAAGAATTTTGTATTTTCATCCCCTTCTTTAATCTAGGTTCTCCTTGATTTCTATCTTAGCATACTTTGATGCAGGCATTATTAACCAATAGGAATCTGTAAGGATGGTTAGAGCTCCCCACGAGGTGGGGACTCACTCTCCATCCCTATGCCTGCCAATGATGGATATAGAAATTTTTTTTTTGGGAGATAAAAAATGACCTCTGTCCCTATATCTGAGGGAGATGATAGGTTTCATGAGTATTTGAAGTTCCCGTCAAATATTAAGTATATGAAATTTAACTTTATTTTTTTTGATAAATAAAAAAAGTAAAAATTTAAAACAATTCAAATAAGTAAATCCATCAACATATAGTGCAACAAAGCAATATCTAGGAACTAAATGCAGTAAATACACACTACCATACGTGTCCAATAAGTCCAACAACAAATTCATAAAAACAAAAAATGCATGAACTACCATACATGTCCTGGTTGGGTTAGGTTATTGAATTGGGTTTGAGAATACTAGATCTAAAAAAAGTAGGGTAGGTAAGTTAGGTTAGATTGGATTAGTCAATTAGGTTGAGTAAAAATTAATTAGTAATATATTTACAAAATATATATGAAAAATATATATAAGAATAAATATATATATTTTTTATATATGGATCCTCTCCACAGAGTGGAGGAAATCCTCCATGAAATTTCACAGAGAAAAAAATGCCTCTATCCTCGCGGCCAAGATCTCTGCAAAGCTTCATGGGTCTTGAAGGAAATTGCTATCCCTAGGAGTCTAGTTAAATCATCGCTCATACTTTTTCTCTCTGTGAGAGTGTTGGTAATAAGGAATTTTTTTTATATGGTTGTTTGTGTTTTTGTGGTTATTTCTTTTTGGCATTGTTTTCTCTCTTTTCATTGGAAATAACTATGGTGGTTGGAAGAGGGGTTGAGGAAACTATGGGTTTTGATCCTTGACAAGTTGAAAAAATGAAGTGGTAAAGGGGACCCAGATAATGTTGGCTGGTGAGTAGTGGTTATCAAACGAGGTAGAATGCTCAACTGGAGTGTGTAGCAAGATGAGGCAAGGGATTTGTGGTTGGCTTGTTTGGGCTAGGGGAGTGGAAGGGGAAGTGTTGATTAGATGGGATTGTCGGTAGGAGAGAGAGACAAGTACTAAATTGATTAAGGTAGAAAGACAACGGACATGGGCAGATTTGGTGGTGCTAGGCATGGAGGCTTGAGGCAAATGGCCCAGTGGTATATGGTAGCAACATGAAGGATTACTACAATAGATTTTGGTTGGCTTGGAGGAAGGGTGTTGACTAGTGAATGTCCTAGTAAGGGAGCTTGGACGATGGCTATTGGCGCAAGGACTTGGTTCAAGTTTTTTGTAATTTGATTGGTTGATGCAGAAATCTTTTGGAATTGATAGCATTCCAAATTAAGAGTTGCTTAATTTGAATGAAAATAGTATTCCATTTCTTCTCACGATAACTGACATAGAGAGGAATTAGGAGCTATTCTTATTCAAATTTATTTTTTCTCTTTTAAGACCACTCTGATTGGGGTGACTTGTGTTTAGTTTTTTAGATACATTTTTTAGCATATTAGGGTTTTTGGGATTTTCCCTAAACTACTTATGTTGGTATTCAACTAATTATAGAATAAAAAGAAACCCTAGTAAGTGTTGAGTAGGATTGGTGATGATCTCTTCTGCTCTATTTTCACCTATTGTTAGTCTTGTAATTGGAAAAATACCCAAATTCACCCCCAAAGTATAGTGATGGGGATGGATCCACCCCCAAACAAAAAACAGGGATAAATCCATTTACAAAATTTTCTACTTGAACAAATTACCCCAAATTTAATGTGTGACGTCATTTAACGTCAGCAATCTGTTAATTTATTATGTCACTAATAATGGATTGCTGACATTAGATGATGTCAAATTAAAATATTGCTAACAACAAATGACGTCACACGTTAAATTTGGGGTGATTTGTCCAAGTCGAAAACTTTGTGGGTAGATTTGTCCCCATTTTTTGTTCGAGGGTGGATCTGTCCCTGCCACTATATTTTTGGGTGAATTTGAGTATTCTATACTTGTAATTTATTGCCAGTTATATTAATAAAATTTCTCTTCCATAAAAGGAAGAAAAAAAAAAAAGATCAACAATCATTAATTAAAATTCCTAATTTAAGGTCAATATTAGAGTTTTAAACACTTATAATACCGAATAATAAAAAAAATGATATAAAGCACTATAATAGGGAAGATGTGTATATGTGGTAAATGATATAATATATCTGTAAAACTTTAAAGAAGTTCTATGCAATCAAGACTATATACTAACTATTACATGGGCAGGCTTTTCAAATTTGGTGGTTTTAATTTTGTAGTATGTCATTGGCCATATTGCGAAAGTAAGAACTCATAAAACTTTCAATGGTGCAGTTATGGCCACTAATTATTTTGTTCAGACCACCTAACTTTATTTAAAAAATACTAATTTTGTTTAATTTAATTGTTAAAAATAGTTAATAAATAATATTTATTACTTAATAAATTAAAATTAGTTTATAAACTAATATTTTCAAATATCATAATTAATTGTTTAAAAAAAATACAAATATTAATAAAATTTTGATGGTCTTAATAAAACAATTAGTAGTGATAACAACACCCAACTTTCAAGTGTATGTTAGTAAGGTAAGGCATTTTCCCATTCATTTTTTTTTTTTAACAACACTTATTCCCATTTATTTATAACTATAGGAATTGATATGTAATTATCTATGTTACCTTTGATTAGTTGAGCTAATGTGCACTAACTTCAAATTTTCAGCTTAAGGTCAAGATTAGATTTCAAACCTCTTGAATATCAAGTACTTAACATCTACTAATATACCAAAGAATAAATCACACTTATGATGGATGTATCAACCTATATTTAGTATGTTATACAACTTGTGACTATTATATTAATGTTCTCTTTAACAATAGATTTACTTAAAAATTAAAACAAAATTGTCATTCAACTTTAGTTGGTCTAATTTTTTCTTTCTTTCTTATAAAAAAAAGAGAGGGTTTTTCAATATAATTTTAAAATTTTGCTTTTATTGGAAGTGGTAAGTTGGGGCTGGGTTCTGCTATTTATAGGAATAGGTTGATGGGTCTTAGGCCTCTGTCTCTCATCTTGCAGTTGGGCCCTCGATTAGCAGGCTGCTGCGATGCTGATTTTGGTATCAACAACCTCTAATTTCTTTTCTTCTTTTGGTAAAGTCTTGATCTAGTAACCCTCACAAATATTCATTTTACTAGGTGTAATAATTTTTTCAATATTTTTCTTTATAAGTAAATAAGATATCATTAAAGAGGTACAGCGGGTACCTCAAACCCATTTTACATCAATAGTTCAATACAATAATTTTTTTAATATTAATCACATAATTAATGGTTGCCGTTCAAAAAATAAAAAAGTCACATAATTGATGAGAATGAGAAAATGAAAATTGATGTTTTTATTTAAAGTAATAAATTGTAAAAGTAAAATTAAAAATATTTAAAAAAGATGGTTTATTACTAGAATCTCTAAAAATAGAAATAACTATACATTATTAAATTAATTCATTTCAATAAATTCAAAATAAAAAAATACTAAAATAACTTTTTTTTAAAATATGAACAAAATTATTTTGATTTTTTTCTCACATTAGATAATATCATGATCAGCAACATCCTCACTATATTCTTCTATGGTATTTTCACACTATATAATTACATTTAGATTATATACAATTTAAGAAAATGCTAAAGAGAAAACCAGTGGACTAATCCACCAAATACACTAATCATATAGCATTATTTGGGATCACACAAGCATTATTTTAAGATCACACAATTATTTTAGCTGTAATATAATTCAAACAGTTGATATTAATGGTTTTGTGGCAATCCGATAAATAATTCCGTCACAACCTTCAAGCACTAGATATTTTGGGTGCAATCATTTCTTGCTTTCCTTTGTTGAGTTTGTTGTTGCTGCCTTGACTTCCCACCAATACACTAATCCAAATCAAAAGATGGTTAATTAATTTATTTTATTCAAAATAGTGTTTCATAGTCTAAGTTGCTTCGGATTACAATATATGAGTGATTGGATAAGGGGATATTGATTGTAAGGTGGCACCCAGCATCCAACACCCAGCTTTTGCATTTTAGTGTCAGTTCAAACTACAAAACTATGGGTAAATTTTTAAGTAAAAAAATAAAAAATAAATAAATAAACTCCTAGACTTAAAAAGGAAAGGCTCACCTTTTCCCATAACTTCACATTTTCTTCTAGTAACATTTTCTCCTGAATTAAGACTAAAATTGTATTATTGGGAAAAAACCCAAGGGGAATTTTTGAGAAGCAAAGAGTTAGAAGATTGAGGAAGTACGTATGTTTAATTCAATATAGGGGGTTATTCTTACCTTCGCTTTTAGACGATGTATCTCCTCCTGATATAACTGGGCCTATAATATAGGACATAAAATGTTTAGCCTACGTACCTTTACGCGAGCAAACACAATTTTCAAGAATTGTCTAGAAATTATATGTAGGTAGATGCATGGCACAATGAAGAATCTAGTACACTGGAGAAATTTGGATCAATTTTACGAGGAACGTCAAGGCAAAGCCCCTTTCGTATCAGTAGATGGCACAATGAAGAATCTATTACAAGGTATATTAGAGACTCCAATCCCAGATCATGGAGGACATCTTGAATCAATTAAATGGTTGAAGGAATGTGGGTCGCAGCTCTATTTATTAGTATATGATAACCTAAGGGAAATATGGCTGTTGTAAGTCTATAAAGGGTCCATTGGCGATGCAAATACTCTATAAATATGCTAAAAAGCTCATTTGATGGTAACTCAAATGCTAATTTTCCTTCAAAAGCAGAAGTCTTGTAATCATATATTGATTCATTAACGTAACTACTTTTAGTCTAAATGCAAATCTAAAGGTTGCAAACCTTTCTTGCCCTGATGTTTTTCAAGCTTTGTTCAAGCTGGCAACCAATCTCTTGAAGTTCCTCGACAGAACAAGAGCCCAATCCTTGACCCAAAAGCTTCCTATATAACATCAAAATTTCAAACTTTAAAAATCCTTTCAACAGGATGAGGAGAAGTACATGACAGAAACATTAAATCATTGTTGAACCTTTTAGAAACTTCCAGGAACTCGATCTTCTTAAACATGTTTGCTGTTGCAATCCTCAAGTGCTGCACTTTGAAATTTTTTTTAGGAAACCGTAAGTATTATTAGCAGCTGTAGGCTACTAAATTATTATAACTCATGAAGCGAATTGTTTGATAAGAGCAATGAAGATGTAATGTAGATTATATCTAGAGAGATCCAATCATAAGTATCGAAGAATCAAACCACAAAACCTAGTTAAAACAAAAGATTGCATGGCTTTGATCCATTCTTGGAACGATTTACTGAAATTAATGAAAGTATTATAACCATGTTTTGGACTGCCCCCGTGGTATCTTGTTTATAGGAGACTATAATAAGCATTGTTGGAGCTTTAAAATTCTTTCACGTCCTAAATCATTGATATAGTAATAGAAGCAGATTGGCGACCAAGTTAATTTTCATTCTAATCAACTGCAAATTAAGTACGTATCTTTCCTTTCCAAATAGAGTTTTATCATAAATATTAACATCTATGCTTACATCTTAATGTTCACGCTGCTCCTTCATATAACTTAGATTATGTAAGGATCCCCCACTCAAACATCAAACCTTACAATTTGCTTTCTTAACTATAATTGCTTCTTCTACCAAAAAAAAAAAAAAACTATAATTGCTTCTGTTCTCTATGAAAAACAGATAAATTTTGAACTGCCCTTTCTCAGAAATTAAAAAGATGGAGGTCTAACCTGCATGTGTTGTTCCATTTCAGGCTTGAAAGTTGGAATTTCTTTTGAATACATATAGTATCGTTCAATGGTCTTCTGCATACTGAAGCATTTCACCAAAAGAAAAAAATAAATAAAAATAAAAATAAAAATAAAAAAGAAGAAAAGTCATCAATCCATGTTAACGGATATATCCTATTAGCAGGTGCCACGCAATTTCATTAATTAAGAAGTGTGTGAGCTCTCAAAACTACATAAGTTTCAGACCATCCCTAGTTACTGAGGTGCAGAATCAGAACATTACATACTTTTATTAGATGAATCAAAAATATCATTACTAGGAGTACAATGGGTACTCCACCCTTAAACTTACAACCACAAGCCATGAATTTATAGATTCACATACACTCAAAGTTCAGCTTCACCAACATTTAAGAAAGAGCTTAACTAATTCAGCAAAGATTCCAGCGTTTCCTTCAAATTTCCTTAGCACAAGGTTGTGGAAAAGAACACCAGTGATGTTAGGAGAACACACAACATTACATACTTGCCTCAACACACCATCTAAGCCTAAAAAATGAATGCCAAGAATGAACATGCATTCAAGTTCACAGAATGCTCACCTCAAACAAGTTATAACTTAGACTACATACCTAAAAAACAAGAATTAAAGATTACAGGCATTTAATTTGAATGTAATAAAGGGAAATTAGTTTTTTTTTTTTTTTTTTATTTGGTTCTCCTAACTTGTTTTACTAAAGAGACTCTGACATATTTATAGGGTATTGCACCAACATTGAAAAATTTGACATGCAGATTCAACATCTTCTAGCATCCTATTAAATGTATAATTTAAACGATAATTGGTTTGTGAATTACAAATTTGAGTGTGAATTTGGATTTAAATCTTCAATTTTGAGTACCTCCTTTGGCTTTGTAAAAAGGCTAAAATTAAGTTTAAGCCATTGAGGTTAAGAGGTTGTTAACTTTAAGCCCTTGAACTAAAAAACACAAAATTTAAGCCCTGCATCTACATGAACACGTCAAATTGGCCCTCCCTTAATTGGACTATATTTTAAATACATGGAATTAATGCTAGGCCTTTGGGCACACATGGAGGCTGAGTTTGCATTGATGGCTTGCATAATGGTGAAAAAGGCGAATGAGCAATGACTAATTCAAAGATAGATTGGAAAATTCTCAAATCACATGACAACAACTCTACACATTGGAGGCCTATAAGTAAAACCCTAGTTCTACAATTTGGGAATTTTCCAAACTGCCTCTAAATTGGCCATCGCTCATTTGCCTCTTTTACCATTATACAGGCCATCAATGCCAAGTCAGCCCCCATATGTCCAAAGGCCCACCATTACATATGGTCTAGTTAGCATCAATGAACGGTGTTAGGTACAGCACATTATGAAGTCCTATTTAGCTGTTAATGATCGGCCAATTTGATGCATTCATTTAGTTTGAGGGCTTAAATAATGTTTTTCCAACTTTGAGGGTCTAAAATTAACAACTTCTAAAGTTTGAGGGCTAAAGCTTAATTTCAACCTTGTAAAAAAATAGTAGATTAGTGAAAAAAAAATACACTGTCAATCTCATAAATCTTATATCCATGTAAAAATTGAATACTTAATAATACACATATGTATTCCCCAACCTATATGATATAAATACATGGATTTCAAAATGAGACAATTACATTACAACCAAACAATATATTGCTAAATGCTTGTATTTTTAAGACATGAAGAAAATCAAATTTACGTCACCAAATAGCAAACGAAGACATATATTTGAATTTAAATCTCACCTTTTATAGTTATTTTTCATTGCTAATTAAACAAACTACAAAATATATATAACCTTATTAGATTTCTAACTTTCAAGGGTAATTAATTGCTATAAGAAAAAAAATGTAGTCAATTCAAAAAAAGACAAGTAAAAATAGAGTCTTATGCATATGGTATGAGGAAAAGATTTATCAAAAATAAGAAAATCAACATGGTATTTCCAAATATGAGGAAACTAAAGATAATAAAAACTTAGGATAGTCCTTTAAAAATATGTTAGTTTTGTTACTAGCAATAATAAATTATTGGTTATGAAGAGTGACAAAGGATTTGATGAAGAATCAATGTAGGGTGGATGGTGTAATTTTACTTTATAAAATTTAGTATAGGCCAAACATACTCAAGAGTTTATACATTAGGAGTGCATTGGCAGATGATTAATTTCTTTTCCCCTACAAATGTATCCAATGATTCCTTTTAACTAATTCTAAACACAAACAAGTAATATTAATTGTTCTTTAATCTACCACCCAATTAACAAAATGCACCTCAAGTAATGACGTGTTTCAAAGAGAGTCAAAACGTCTAATACATTAGATTTTAGCTTTTTCCAAGTAAAATTTTCTCTTTCATACTTACAACATCATTTAGTGACTATATTATTCCTATGCCTCTCACTATTGGCCTGAACACATAATTTGATCACATATATGAATTAAACACCAAATAAAGACTTAAAAAAGGGATTTACATTTTCTTTGCATGAATGGTCAAATAATCCCTTGGAGTGTGCTAAAGCAATCAACTAGTATAGGATGTTGCAATGTTCAAATGTAGCCCTTAAAACAAAAGTCCTTATTTTGAGATTTTGTATTGATATAGAATGGGTTTACGGTATGCCTTCTACCTCTTTAATAATATTTTATTTACTGATAAAAAAAGATTAAAAATATAAAGTTATGATCCACTTTCACATAACTCTTACAGACATTAGTTAAACAAAATCTTACCATTCATCTCTCCATTATGAATGGTTAAGATTTATGATAACTTTTTAGATAAAAGAGCAATTATATTTAAAAAGTATGATAAAAAGTGGATAAATATCAACAATTCATAATGTAGAGGCAAATGGCTTTTGTGTAAGAGTTGTATATAAATATGTATTCCAACTCATAAATATATAATAGAAAAAAGAAAAATATAAATATTTACCGAACACTTGAAAAGCAAATGCTTAGCAATGATAAATTGACTATAAAAAATGAAAATCTAATAAGCCTAAGATCATGCCGCTAAGAAAATAAGGTAAATTTCCATGCCTCAGAAAAGCATACATTCACAGATTCCTTCTAACACACATAGGCGCCATATATTTTAATCAGCCAAGCACCAATGAATTTTATTTATTCACTTCTATAGGACATATACTACAAGAAATTAATGATTTCATAACTACTTTATGTAGCTTCAAACTTTTATAGTGAAGATTGTAGGGTTTAACACAATTCCTAAGCACATGTGATATCATACACCATATATATAAAAAGAAAAGGACAAAACTAGTGTGAGATTTAATATCTAATAATTAATGTGTAAATTGAAATGGTAGCAGGCTAATAACTAGAATTACAGGTTCTAGTTCCTAGCAGCAAAGCATTTGCAAAACCTAATAGACATGTTTGTGAAAGGCTAAATGCACCTAAATGGATTTGTTCCAGCAGCAAAGCATATCATAATAGTCATTCTTGATACTTCATCAAAAGAAATGAACTCAAAGACAAATAGGAAGAAAAAATCAATGCAAACATTAAGATTTCCAAATAGTACTGAGGAAGTACAGATCCACATAATGAGCAATTTATGGAAGAGGAACAAAAAACAAACTTGTCAAATATGTTAAATAATCAACATATATAGTAAAAAGAAATAATCAATTGCACAACTTTGTTAGTATAATTAAAGAGAACATACTCAGAGCTTGAGAACTCATAAAGTCTTCCTTTTTGTGAGAAGATTATAACTGCAACATCAACATCACAGAGAACAGATAGCTCAAAAGCCTTCTTAAGCAGCCCGTTACGACGCTTGGTGAAGGTCACTAGTCTGTTTGCTGCATTCTCAATCCTTTTCAATACAATTTTCCCTCTCACCATCTTCTACTTCATCATCAGAGTCACGTCAATCAGTAACCTTATAAGAGAATCCATTTTTTTTTTTAGAAAAAATGACAAATACTTACCAAAATTGAGCTAAGTCCACAAATATATATTGAGAAGCTACGCAGTGAGTTTAAACCTTTGCAAAGAAAAATTACAAATTTTGAAGAGATTAATAATGGCAGTCCAGAGGAATGTTTTAAAAGCTCAGAAAGGGAAGGAAAACCCCGAAAGAAAATAGCCTAAAATTTCTAGGGAAGAAAATAAGTTTCAGCTTATGTACAAAGAAAACAAAATTTGAAGACATCAATTATAGCAGCCCATAATCCCATAGAAAGTTTTCATCTTTCCAGGTGCATAGGAAGGAGGAAAAAGAAAAAGAAAATCACTGGCTTGCCAAAATTTTCTAGGAAACCAAACAGCAACAAGCCTAGAAAATTCTTAGGAACAAAGGGAGGAAACAAAGACGGGAAAAGTTCAGAAACCTTGGAAGGATGAGTAGAAACAAAGACGGGAAAAGTTCAGAAAACTTGGAAGGATGAGTAGAAACGCAGAGGATCTATTGATCTATTGATTTTTGATATGGCACTCTCTTTACACTCAGACCACAAAAACCCTTATTTTCATTATATCCTCGTTTTTACCCACAAAAAGAAAAATGTTCCCTACTCTGTTAAATGTTTTTTATTTTTTTGTTTTTTCTTTGAACAGAACAATTTGAGAGAAGGGGAATGGGAGCCGTGGGGCTCCCAAATGCAACCTACGGGGTGATCCCCACTTAACCAAAGATCTTCACTATTAGGCGGGGGCATGCAGATCAATTAAATGCTTTTTAACCCATTTTCTCACCTTGTTTTGGTAATATTGAGAAAAGAAAAAGGAGCGAAAGAGGAAAATCAACAGTAAACACAAAAAAGGTAATAAAAAAATAGTATTATATAACATCTCAACAACTTTCGTACGATGATGTGCTCAACGGGCCAATGGGGGGAAGGCGATCGTGTCATAGGCTCGCCTTGAATAGATTGGCTAAAACCATTAGCTCGAGAAGAAAATTGTTAGCTCTCATTTTTAAGTAAATTTTGGAGAAGAAAATTTTCTCTTCTTTGTTTAATTCAAAAAAAAAAAGAAGAGAAAAATAATGTACGCACTCTTAACTAGCAAGAGTTTAGCTAAGTCACCATTCATTAAATTAAAGATTTTGATTTAAAACTTTACAATGCTAAATAATTAATTTTTAATGTATAGTCAAACAAATGATGTAAGGTATAAATAAGGAAGATGTGTATATATAGTAAGTGATATAATGAGTCCTTAAAACTTTAAAAAAGGTTTGGTGCAATTAAAAGTCTATACTAACTATCATATGAGATAAGCTCCTTAAATTTAAAAGTTTTAAATTTGTAATATGTCACAACTCATGTTGCAAAAACAATAACTCATAAAACTTTTGTGTGTATGTATTAATTAGGTTACAGCTTTTTCTTATTTATATATAGGAGCTAGAATTGATATGTAATTAGGTATATTATTGTTGTTTGGTCGTTAATGTACACTAGTTTAAAATTTTAAACTTGGGGTTAACAACAAAATTCAAACTTTTTAAATAATAAGTACTTAACTTCTACTAATATACCAAAGGATATATCAATTTTAAGGATGTATCAACTTATAACTAATATGCTATACAATGAGTGAGTATTATATTAATGATCTTCACTTTTTAACAATGGATTTACCTAAAAATGAGAATAAAATACTCATTCAACTTTAGTTGGCTTTTTTTTTCTTCCTCCAACAAAATAAGGATGTAAAAATTAAATAATAAAATTTAAAAAAAGTGCATATTTGTCCTAACTCTTTAATGTAGAACAAGAAGCAAAAGTGAGGATAGAACTTAAAAAACTGAGGCAAGGATGGGAAGAGAATAGCAAAATTAGGAATTTCTAGAAGATAATTTCAATTTATAAATACTTTAATTGAATAACCATAATACAACCTACGCTTAAATATAAAAGCTAAAAACCTAAATTAGACTTACTTTATAATTAGACTCCCAATTGAATCTTTATTGAAAGATAATAATAGATCCTAATAAATATAAATTACTAGTAATGTTTACATTTAATTCCTATGTATTCGTACTCATAATAAAATCCTAATAAATATATTATTCCCTTCCTTATTTGCATCATTCTCCCCACTTGGTGAAAACTTTACCTCAAGTTTCATAGTGTTGAAGCCATACAAATTTCGAAGGAACAAAATAACACAATTGTAGTGCTTTTGGTAACTCGACTTTGATCTTCAAACCAAACAAAATAGACTCCAAAGTAGACTTCAAAGTAGGATGTTTAGCATCAAATTCTTCTAAAAAAATGAACACAATAGGTTGACCAGCTTGCAAGACAGAGAGGAACTCAAAATTTTCTTCCACAATGTCCACTAGACCATTTGGCTTTACTTCTAGAAGTTTCTTGAATACCATTTTGTCAAGATCTTCTCTATTTTCCACCACGCCATTGACCTTTGAATGTTGAAGCTCTTCAACTAACTCGTTTAGCTTGAATTCTTGTTCAAAACCCAACAAGAGAGAAGGCAAGCAACCCACTAAATTGTTTCCTTGAACTTTTACTGTATCATATCCTATAACTAAAGCAAATGGTTGACTTTGGAATTTCTTCATCAGTAACATAATTATCTACTACATCCTTTCTCAAATAAGGTTCAAGCTTAGTAACACAAGCACTTTTTCTAACAATTTTTAAGCAACAAGCAAAATAACCATATTATCTTTTTCCACACACAAAAGCAATAGAGATAATAGTTCCATAGGAATATCTTCACTTTCTTGTAAAACAAGAGTCATGATACTTTATGTATAGTCAAAGACAACTTGTGGGTGGTAATTGTGGATTGATAATAGAAAATGTTGGAACAATTCAATAATTAGTGCATCACACTCAAGATCTAACATCAACACACAAGATTGAACCCTGGCCATAATGCTCAGAATTGTTTTGCTATTATAATATGAGCAGTCACAATTGTCAAACAAATGCTCAAATGATGAAACAATTAATTTAAATACCTATTTCATTTTGTCATCATCATATGGAGAATCAAGGGTAGTAATTCTCATCATCTCGCTAATGCAAGCTACAACAACAATTCTAACATGGGCATGTGAATGAGAAAAAAGCTATTCTAAACCCGAAGGTTGTTTTGATGGGTATAGTGCCTTTTCTAAGTATGGACATAGCTTTTGTTCCACTTTTGAAAGGAAAATCCTTAATTGTAACAGGATAGAGAGAAATTCATCAATTGAGGAAGGAGAGTTCTTGAGGGAATACGCAACTTCCTTCAACCATTCTATTACTAACAACTCTTTAAAAGAAGGGACCATGATTTCACTCCATTAAACTAGAAAATCAATTTCAAGCTACTGACCTATCAAAACAGACCTCAAAAAATGGATTCTAGATTCTCGTGCTTTCCATTCGAATGTTCTGCATGAGTTACCAAATTAAAAAACAATGTTGGATCTCACAAATCTAAGGATTGGCTCAGTTTTTTTTTTTTTTTTTTTCAAGGAAATCAAAGCTTGTGGTTTGTGGGATTTTGGTAACTCTGATACCAAATTGATGTAGAGATAAAGGTGAGGATAGAACTTAGAAACAGAGGTAAGGGTGGGAAAAGAATAGTAGAATTAGGGACTTCTAGAAGATAATTTAAATTAATAAACTCTTCAACTGAATAACTCTAATACAACCTACGCTTAAATATAAAAGCTAAAAACCCAAATTAGACTTACTTCCTAATTAGACTCTAAATTGAATCTTTATTGAAAGATAATAATAGATCCTAATAAGTATAAATTACTAATAATATTCACATTTAATTCCTATATATTCGTAATCATAATAAAATCCTAATAAATATATTATTCCCTTCCTTAGTTGCATCATTACTCTTATAATAAATTAAAGTCCCACCCTTAAATTACATTTTTTTTTTTTTTGCACAGCAAAAGGAATATGATTATATAGAGTACAAGGGGTACTCCTGCCCATAATACACAAACAAGGGGAATATTGAGCATCTACTGACTCTATCTTTATTCCAAGTAGAGTCAGTTATTTGCTCAATGCTTCCAATGAACCTACAGTGAAGAATGTCCAACAACATCCTCAAAACAGTAATTAATATCCTACCAATCAAAGCACAAGATTCTATTTCCAACTACCTACCGTAGATACTAATAAAGCAATCAAGAAGCCATTACATTACATCCGGCTTTGCCTTTGATGGCTTTCCTCCTTCTACAACTAACCTTTATGCAATCAACAGGATTGAGAAGCCAATCAGAAAGAGTGAAGGCATACCTGTCATTTTTTGCTTTAATCCATATGAAAGATCTCAATTGAATTAATTCGAACAACTTCCTCGCACTTATCTCTTTATGCTGGAAAATTTTCTGATTGCGAGCAAGCCACACAGTCCACACAACCGTGCTCCATAGGCAATCCCATCCTTGTCTTGTTCGTGCCTCTTTGCTCCAATCTCCAAATTTTTCAAATGTCTTTAAACAGTCGATATCGAGTTTTGCCTCGGCCCCCCACCATTGGGCGCATGCTTCCCACAGCCATCGAGTCAGCTTGCACCTTAAGAATAGATGTGCTGAGTCCTCTTCTTGTTCTTCACATACAACACACTTACTCTCCTCCATGTCTTTAATAATCCCTCTTTTCAACAAATTCACCTTGGTTGGTATTCTATCCAACATTAACTGCCAGTTGAAAGCTGATACTTTGGTCGGGAGTGTTGTGTTCCATGTTCTTTTAAAAATTGTAGATCCATTAGGTCCGCTTTGATCAGTTGCTAATATGTGGTATGCTGATTTTGATGAGTATTGCCTTTCCTTGTCGTGAATCCATTCCCACTTGTCAGGTCTGCCTTGAGTAATCTTAGTGCCCTCTATCATTCTTTCTAGATCGACGACCTCTTCATCTTCCCATTCGAAAAGATTTCTCCTCCATGATAACTTCCATTTCCACGATCCACTCCTTAAGTTACCCATTTGATTGCATGTTTTCTCCTTTCCTGTTGATAGAATATACAACCTAGGAAATTTGTTAGCAAGGCAACCCTCCCCTCCCCAATCATCCCACCAAAAGCTTGCTGAATTTCCGTCCCCAATTTTCATTCTAAAACCCTCCGACAGCCATCCTACACTCTCCTCATTCACTCTATCTAGGCAACACACATCTCTCCACCATAAGGATCCCCTTCCATTGTTATCTTTAATCCAATCCATCCAATGCTTCCCACCCATACCATATTTCGCTGATATTATTTTCATCCATAGTCCTTCCTCCATTTTTGCTAACCGTCCCCACCAGTTCCCCATCAATGCCAAATTAAACTTCCTCAAAACTCTCACTCCCAGCCCTCCCTCATCTTTACTTTTACATACATCCCTCCAACTTACCCAATTTATTTTCCTCTCCTCCGCCCCCCCGCCCCATAAAAAACGTCTACGTATTTTATCTATTGATAGGAGTGTACCTTTTGGAATTACGTAGGCTGACATTAGGAACACGGGCAAGGAAGACAACACTGAATTGATGAGCGTGATACGACCTCCCATAGAAAGGTATCTGCCCTTCCAGCTGGCTAGTTTCCTCTCAACTGCTTGTATCATTGGTTGCCACATTGCTTTCCTTCTGTTGTTCCCCCCTATTGGGATTCCCAGATATTTAAATGGGAGTTCTCCTTCTTTACAGTGCAATCTATATGCCATTTCTGTTTGCCAACTCTCTGCTACTCCCACCCCCATCACATGGCTTTTCCTGAAATTGATCTTAAGTCCTGAAGCCAACTCGAAGATCCTCAAAACAGTCTTCACCACTCTTATGTTATCTTCCGATGCCTCCCCGAAGAATACCGTGTCATCCGCGAATTGTAGATGTGACACCATGACACCTTCATTCCCTACCCTCACTCCTTTATAAATTTCTTTTTCCACTGCCGAGGTCATTAAGCCATTCAATCCTTCTGCCACTATCAAGAAAAGAAATGGCGATAACGGGTCACCTTGTCGTATGCCTTTGCTAACCGAGAATTGGCTCGTTGGACTACCATTTATAAGAACAGAAACCGAACTTGACTTTAGGCACTCCGATATCCATCTCCTCCATGTTTCATTAAATCCCAACCGCATCATCATGTAATCCAAAAATTCCCAACATACTTTGTCATAGGCTTTCTCAAAGTCTACTTTAAAAATGAAGCAACTCTTCTTCTTCCTTTTAACCTCATCTATGACTTCATTTGCAATGATAACCCCATCTACTAGTTGTCTACCCCCAATAAAAGCCATCTGCTGCTCCCCGATGACTTTGGTTAGCACCTTTCGCAGCCTGTTCGCTAACAGCTTTGCTATGATCTTGTACATGACCCCTATAAGAGAAATGGGTCTATACTCTTCAATTCTCTGGGGGTTTTCTGTCTTTGGGATTAACACAACGAAGGATGCATTGGCTCCACGGACAATTCTACCATGTTTGTGAAACTCCTGAATGAAAGCAACTACCTCCGGCTTTATAACTTCCCACATTTCCTTAATGAATCTAAAATTAAATCCATCTGGGCCTGGAGATTTGGCAGAATCACAATCCCATATTGCTTCTTTTACTTCCTCCTCTGAAAATCCTTTCGTGAGAAGCTCGTTATCCTCTTGCGATATCTGTTTGAAACTGACCCCATCTAACTTTGGTCTCTTCCATCCTTCTTCTGAGAATAATGATTGGAAATACCTCGCCACCTCTTCTTTAATTTTTGTCACTCCAGTGAACTGCTCACCATCTATCTGTATGGAGTTAATTTCACTTCTTCTCCTCCTTCCTTGGATGCAACTGTGAAAGAATCTTGTGTTCGCATCTCCTTCTTTTAGCCACATCTTTCTTGATTTTTGTTGCGACATCCTCTCCTTGATTCTTAAATTCTTCCATAATTCAAGAAAGCTATTTCTCCTCAACTCAATCTCATCTGTGGCTAGTTGATTGATCTCTCCTTTCTCATCTATCTCGGCTATCATGTTTTCAGCATCCTTTATTCTTTTGTCCATCTCAGTCACCGATTTAGCACTCCACTCCTTCAGGACTTTCTTTGTTCTCTGCAATTTTTCTTTAAGAATAAAGCCCCTCCACCCCTTTACTTCTGTGGATTTCCACGAATTTGTAACTAGCTCTTTGCATCCTGGTTGTTCCAGCCAGCTGTCGAAGAATTTGAAAGGTTTTGGGCCCCAATCTACCTTTTCATTCTTCAATAGGATTGGGCAATGATCTGATACTGTTCTCCTTAACCCCCACTGCTTAATATCACTCCATTTGGCAATCCAGTCTTCTGAAACCAGGAATCTATCTATTCTACTCATCTGCTTACCATTGGAGTTGTACCAAGTAAACTTCCTTCCCACCAAAGGCAAATCAATCAATTCGGATCTCAAAATAAACTCATCAAATTCCTTCATTTCTCTGGACACCCCATGACACCCTGCCCTTTCCTCTACTCTTCTAACTGAATTATAATCTCCTGACAAGCACCAGCACCCTTTTTTGCTTATAATCAGGTTATACAGTTCCTCCCATAATTCTCTCTTTCCCGTTAAATGGCAAGGGGAATAAATGTTTAAAATGCATACTGGAGTTTCCTCCTCCCCCCATACACCAAACACCCCAATAAAATTATCCCCTTCTATATCTTCTTTTTTTTTTAAAACATAAGGATTCCAAATGCACAATGATCCACCAGACAAGCCATTAGAAGGTTTAAATACCCAATCTAAGTTCTCGGACCCCCATATTCTTCGGCAAAAATTTCTATCAATCATCTCCATTTTCGTCTCCTAGATTGCTAAAAATTCTATCCTTTCCTTCACAACGATTTCTCTAATCTGCCTTCTTTTACCGACCCCATCAAGTCCCCTAATATTGAATGACAGAAGTATCATTAAGGACTGTACATACCTTCTTGCTACCGATTTCCTTTTGGTTTCCCTCGGTCACTTTTCCTTGTCTATCTCTGTTCTCCATCTCTTCAATCCTCCGAATTATCTCCTCCTCATCCTCCGTCGTTGCCCCCAATTGCTTTGCAAGCTCCCATATTTCTTTGGCAAATCCGATCTGCAACTTCTTCTTTAGAGCCTTGTTGCGCTGATGAATCTCGGAATCACCTACAGAATCTCCTGCAACTTTCCCGTTCGGGTTTGGCTCAAAATCTGGCATTGAACTCCTCACCCTCGACAATCCGATCTGCTTACCCCTGCCTCGGCCTCGGCTTCTCCCTCTTACCCTGTCCATTTCATGTGTATTTAAATAGACAGAGCTGCAATTTCTTACCCGTTGGCCCTTCCTTTTGGTGATTCCTTCGCTTAGCTTACTCTTCCCTCTCTGCATGCTTCCACTTTCACTCACATATCCTTTCCAGACCAGATCTGCATCTTCCTCGGTGTTATCCTCTGCAGAGTCTTCAACTCTGGAAAAATCCATAATACCCTTTGCTTTTGATTCAATTACCCCCAAGCTGCCTTGGGCCAAGCCCATATTAGTAGACTCCTCACACTCTAAGCTTTCTTCCTGACTCATGGGCTTCATGCATGCTGGATCAGTCTTTTTAGAGCCCACTTCCGCCCCATTCTCCCCTTTCGGGCTCATTGCTGATGACAGCTTCCCTTGATATTTGCTCTCCGTCTCTGCCCCTCCGTTTCTTCCCACTATTTTCAAATTTTGAATTTGTTGCAAGCTGTCTTCCACCGATTCTACTGATTTCTGACATTGCTGTCTTTTTTTGGCTTTGAGCCGTTCTCACCTTTTTCCCACAGCTTCTTACCACGTCATCATCTTCTTCCTGGTAACCTTCGACTTCCTCCTGCATCTCATCCCCTGCATTTTCGGGATTCTGCTCTTCCATTTCACTCTCCGTTGACCACATCTCCTGTTCCTCTGAATCACTTTGGAAAGAAGGCATAAAGTCTTGCTTCAACGAAAAGAAGCTATTAGTGAACTCTTCCTCAGTGAATTTAATGTTGTAAATGATCCCGTTAATCTTGATTCGCCTCAAAACTGAGATTGAGTTTGAAATCGGGGTGGATATTAAAAATCTAGCAATGTCAAATCTCTTCTTTTTGCTTGTACTATCATCCAAGCATATGAATTTCCCCCACGAACTGCCCATTTTTTGAAAGAAATCAGCTCCCCAGACGTTCAGCGGTGCCCATTGACATCTCATCCATACGAATCTCTCATTGGCAACTGTTTCTGGTGTCCAAGGGCACACTTTTTCAAACCATTGCCCTAGCCATTCTGCTGCCATCTCCACCAGATCCTTAAGTTCCTCCTTGTCCTCACAGTCCAATAAGACTAATCTTCCTCCCATCGCAACGATTTTACAAGAAAAATACCCTTCCATGTAAAATTTCTCTTGTAAATTCCGGACCATATCTATTGAGTACACTGTGCCCACATAACACCCTTTGAGCCATGAATATTCTTCCGGATTAATATTGTATTCCATCCCTACCCAGTCTTCTCTCCTTCCTTTCTCCTGCCATCTTTTCCTTGGCTCCCTATTATGAGGCCCGAATCTGATTCTGCTATTACTTCTTTCCTGGATTGACTGATTTTGGGTGTTATCTTCTTCACAAAATCTTTTCCTCTGATTATCTTTCACCACCTCAGCATAACTTCTTTTTTGCTTCTGAGGCATCCTTTCTCCACTGATTTTTTCTTCCCTGGCCTCAACATAATTATGAGCTTGCAACTGAGATGTCCCTTCCCCGCTGATTCTTCTCTGCTTGCTTCTGATCTTTTCAACATCATACCTCGGACTGTTAACCCATAACTTCATGTCATTAACCCAGATCTGGTCCAGTTTCCGTTCCAACTCCTTTCTGTCCTTAACTTCCAAAAACCTTACGAACCCAAACCTGGTTCCATTCCTGCTTCTCCTGTTTGGACAATAAATATCAAACACCCTCCCATAATGTAAGAAAGTTCTCCACATATCCGCATAAGACCAATGCTCCGGGAAGTTGGTGAAGAAATATGGGGTGGTTTGATTATAAAGACCCTCATCATACGATCTTTCTTTCTGGTTCCCTCGACCCTGTTTTCTCTCAGGTTGCCATTGTCCTCGTCTCTCCACCTCTGACCTCTGTTGTTGGCCTCTTCTGCCTGATCCTACCCACTCCCAGCTCAGTGTCGTCTCTGATGCCCGTGCCCGTCGTCCGCCGCGAACCCCTCTCACTCTCTCTCTTCCTCTCTCTCTCATGGTTTTTTTCTATTTTTTAAATCCACCCTTAAATTACATTGTTTTATTTAATGAAAACTCAATTTAAAATTTTAAAAACCCATCTCATTAAATATTAATATTTAGATTTAGAAATTGATTATATTAACTTATATAATCGATTTTCAAATTTAAATATCAATATTTAATATAATAGATTTCTTAATTTTAAATTGAAATTTTCATTTCTAAATGTAAGTTGAGACTTTAATTTTTTTATGAATCGAGATTAATATACACTAACTTCATAAAATTTTATATTTATACTTAATTAGCTACTACTTAAGTATTAGCTACTACTTAAGTAAGTGTCATTATAAAATATGTTGAAATTATTTTTTTAAATGAGTAAAATAAAAATAACAATATTTAATAATTATTATAAAATAAAAATTAATTAATTAATTGTAAACACCCATATTAAAAATTAATTCAACTAGAGCTAAATGCAGAAAATACTTAAATTGAAAATGAGGTAAGATAATGACTTCTGTGCATCTGCCGTGCAATTTTTCATTATGGTGAAGTTGCGGAGGAAATTTATCCACCAAAAAAGAAAACTGCTGAGGAAATTTGGTTGGTGGATAAAAAATTTTAAAAAATATTATTTTAAAAAAAGGTTTCCCAATATGATTTTAAAATTTTGCCTATATTGGAAGTGGTGGGTTAGAGCCCGGTTTCGCCATTTCTAGGTGGATTGGTCGTAGGTTTCTTTGTCTCACCAATCACCATGCAATTTTCGTTTTGGGCTCTCAATTTTGCTTATATTGGAAGTGGCTGGTTGACTGTTCATTTTGAAATAAAAAATAATTGATAAATTGTTCAGTTCAATATTTTTATCAACATAAACAACATCCATCGATTTATTCTTTAAAATTGACAGTTAAAATTTTTTCTCTTAAATTTGAATTTAAAAATAATATATTAATAAATGT